TCGGATTATTTACATTAGAAAGACGAAGTTGAGGGGGGACCTGATTGAGGTCTACAAAATCATGAGAGGTATAGACAGGGTGGATAGCAAGAAGCTTTTCCCAGAGTGGGGGACTCAGTTACTAGGGGCCACAATTTCAAGGTGAGAGGGGAAAAGTTTAAGGGAGATATGCGTGGAAAGCTCTTTACGCAGAGGGTGGTGGGTGTCTGGAACGCGTTGCCAGCGGAGGTGGTAGAGGCGGGCACAATAGCATTATTTAAGATGTATCTAGACAGATACATGAATGGGCAGGAAGCAGAGGGATACAGATCCTTGGAAAATAGGCGGCAGGTTTAGATAGAGTACCTGGATCGGCACAGGCTTGGAGGGCCAAAGGGCCTGTTCCTGTGCTGTAATTTTCTTTGTTCTTTGGAATACCAAAATAAACTCAATTTTTATTTACAGCTATGTTAGGAAAACAAAGGCATGAGTTAATGTTTTGAGTCTGGTGACCCTTCCTCAGTTCTGAGGAAGGGTCACCGGACCTGAAACATTAGCTCCAAATTTTTTCTTCACAGATGCTGCCAGACCTGCTAACCTTTTCCAGAAACTTCTCTTTTTGTTTCTGATTTACAGCATCTGCAGTTCTTTCAGTTTTTAAATAAAAGCATTGTTTATGACCCTGATTGAATTGCTTTTCAAAGGAATGGCAAAAGTAGTGTACTGGATAATGTCTATGTATGCTATTTACATGGACTTCTGGAGGCATTCAATGATGTCCCCTGTAAGAAACTGTTAGCTAAGGGTTGAAGCCCTGAAGGCAATTGATTTGGTTTGATAATTATTGACTGGTGGGAAACCAAGAGAAAGGATAATTGGCAGAAAATGACTAACAATGTCTTTCAAGGATCTGCATGGGATTCCATGATATCACATATACAATGTGATAAATTGTATTTATTAATAATTTAAATGTTAAGACAGAAATCCACAGATTCAAATTTGCCAATGGCATATGATAGGTACGAGTGTAAGTAATGTAGACGAATGCATGAGATTACAGAGATTTGTTAGATTAAATGAACGGGTTAAAGCAATGAAATTGGAATCCAGTATGGGTAAATGTGAGGTCATTGACTTCAGATGTAAAAAGAATAATGTAAAGGGAAACTTAACAAACTTTAGGAACATTACACTGACCTTGGAATGTGCACAGTGTAGGTTTACCAGAATGATAAAAGGTTAAATTATAAGGAAGATTACAGTAACTAGGATTGTATTTCTTGAAATCTGTCATCCAAGATTTCAGATATTAAGTGAAACAGATAGAGCAAATAGAAATAAATTATTCCTGCTGACTGGAGATGGGGAAGATCTAGGAACAGGGGAGACAGTCTTGGAATTAGAGCAAGACCTTTCAGGAGCAAAATTCATAAACAATTCTGCACACAAAAAATGGTCAAGATTTGGAGCTCCCCCACAATAATAAATCAATTTAAATTTTGAATCAGAAGTTGCTAGACTTAATTATACAAAGACATTTAATGGTACGAAGTGAAGGTAGGCTGAACTCCTGTTCTTAATCCAGATGTGGCATGAAAGGGACATTAATGGGATTCTGGTTTTACAAATAAAGGCAGAGTACAAAACAAATAAATTACGCTAAGTCTTTATAAATCACTGGCTAGGCCTCAGCTGGAGTACTATAATTAATTCTTGGCACCACACTTTAGGAAGAGATAGTAAGAACTGCTGATGCTGGAGTCAGAGATAACACAGTGTGGAGCTGGAGGAATTTTCTGAAGAAGGGTCCCGACCCGAAACGTCAGCTTTCCTGCTCCTCTGATGCTGCCTGGCCTGCTGTGTTCCTCCAGCTCCACACTTTAGGAAGGATGTTAAGGTATTGATAGTGTCTGGGGAATTCTCCAGAAGGAGGAACTC